ATTGAAGAATTAGAACATATTCAATTTAGTTTAATCCAGTATTATTTTCAAAATAAAATTTCAATTGTTATGGATCAAAATCATTTCTCCTATTTTAAGTCAAATTTTAATTTTTTTTGTATTTTGCTTTTGTTTCTTTTTTTTAAAAAATTAAATTCTAAAAAAAAATTGTTGATCACTCAGAATTGACATTAAGAAAAGTGAAACTCTGTATTTTTATTATATAATTAACACACAACTATTTCAAAAATTGTATTGTCAGCAATTTTTCTTTTCTAAAGAAATTGAGTAATATTGTATCTCATAATTAAAATGAAATAAAAAATTTTTTTTTTAATATTTTATTTTTTTATAGAAATTTATAATTTTATACGGGTATTTATTTAATTAATTCTAACTTTAATCTGAATTTAATTATCTCTCTTATTTTTAAAAAATTTTATGTTGGTTGATTCCTAAAACAAAATTGATTATTATTTTTATTATTATTTTTATTATTATTATTATCATTATTATTATTATTATTGAAGAAGTGTTAATTCCACTCTAATCCCCCTTAAACTTAAATTCCCTTTCAGAAATTTTAACGAAAAAATATTGATTACAAAATTATTAATTAATGAAAATATTTTCAAAAGATCACAGTTTACAATTAATTGATTAAAATTTATTTCTTTTAATATATTTTGTAAAATTAATCTATTTTTTTCATAAGAAGGACATCCCTGCTAAAAAATTATTCATATTTTTTATAATTTCTTTTTGTAAGTGTTTTAAATATAGAGGACAAAATTCCTTTGAGTTTTTATCTATTACCTATAATATCTTTTTCGGTGATTAGTAAATGGCTGATTTAATGATTGTTGAGCTTCGAGAATAAATTTTATATTTTTGAATTTTAAATAAAGAGTTTTACTATTTTATTGTTGTGAAATATTTTTGAGGAGTGTCATAAAGTGAAGTTGAGTGTGTAAGTTTTAAAAAATTCTAAATAATAGAGTTTAATCTTTGATTTTACCCTATTCTTTTATATTTTGAGAAACCCAAAGAAAAATGTCGCCAAGTGCATATCTTTTCCATAATTTAAAAGAATGGAGAAAAATCAAAGATTTTACTCAATTTTTACAAATTCCGGAAAAGCTAAAGGCGTTTTTTATAATTTGGGAAATAAAAAGAAAATTCAAAAAAAATTTATTTTTTTTCTTAAATTAAAAAAATGTTAATGACATTTCCAGCTCTGTAGAATTCAATAATTCATTATATTTTTATATTTAGAAATCTCATTTTTAAATTTAATTAAATCTTTTGAATACTTGTTGTTTTTATTGTTTATTCTTTTAAATTCTCGAAAATCTAACAAAAAATACTCTTCATTAATATTTTTTATTTTGAGAAAATAAAAAAATATTTATGAAATTATCTTTTTATTTCTCAAATTAAAAAATACCTTTAAGTTTTCTAGAGTTTACTCATTATTTAAACAATCGATATATTTTTTCAATAAAACAGAACATATCAAGAAAGCGGTCTTTAAACTTTTCCAAAATTTAAAAGAATTGAGAAGAATCAAAGATTATTCTCATTTTTATGAACCCAGGAAAATAACCGTTAGGTTTTCTTGAGTTTTCTATTTATTTAAAAAAATCGATAGATTTTACAAATAATATAGAAAACCTCAAAAAAAACCTAGAAAACTTAATAGATAAAATAGAAAAACTCAAAAAAAGCTAGAACACTTCACAAATAAAACAGAAAATCACAAGAAACCCTGGACACTGTTTTTCATAATTTAAAAGAATTTAGTTAAATCTTTGATTTTACTCGATTATTTTGAATTCTGGAAAACCTAGGCACTCTACGGTACTTGAAAACAATTCCCTAAATTCTAAAAAATATTTAAAGCGGTTAAACTTATTTATATATGAATTGAACTATTAAAGATATTGAATATTATTTATTAAGAATGATGAAAAACAATTTTAATTTTAAATTTAAAAACCTAGATTTTCATTTATTTTCATAAGTTGAAAATTTCTTGAGTGAATGATCAAAATTTTCAACAATTTCTAAATTTCTATTTATTTATATTAATTTATAAAATTTTATTTTATTTAAATTTATAAAATAAGAATATATGCTTGAATAAGTTATATATTACACTAACTTTGAAATAGAAGTTGAAAAGTTCGATTTTCAATATTTTCGGTGTTTTTTTTTTCAGATATTATTAATATTTCTAACCGATTTTAAATATTTTTAGGGTTTTGATCAAGAACAATTTATTATTAAATTTTCTCTGCAGCCAGTTACGCTTTTAAGGCACAAACTTTAAACGTTATTTAAGGTATAATAAAAATCTCAAATTAAGGTACATAATTCAGATTCTAGTAAAATAATATGTAAAAAAAAAAATTCCAAATTTTGTTCCTTAATTTGAGATTTTTTTGTGCCTTAAATTTCGTTGAAATTTTGTGCCTTAAATTTGAAACTGACTGTAAATTGATTAAGATTTACATCTAATAATTTTAATTTTTTTATTTTAAAATTAATATATATTTTTTTGATAATTTCGATTGATGTGAAACAAAAAAAGTAGATAATTATCACCACTATACTTAATTTTTAAAATATTATAATTTAGATTAAAGTTGTCCAAGTATAACAATTCAAATATTTTAATACGAATTATTCCCTAAAATCCAGAAATACTTGTAAAATTTTATTATATATGATAATACTAAATGAGATAATTGTGGCATCTAGATTTATTTATTTTTTATTTATTTATTTTTTTTTTTGAACCGAGATAATCCTACTCTAATCTAAATTAAATAGTTTTATTTAAACTCAGTTTCACACAAAGCCAAACAACCAAAAATGAAAAATTCACTTTATTTTTAAGAATCTACGAAACTTAGATTTTTTAGAAATTAGAGTAATAATCAACTTCGCATTAGGGTCAATAACTATAATAGATAAAACTGAACAAATCATAAATTTCTGAGTCGTGGAATATCGATTTATTAATCACAGTTTGTGTCAATCCTATTTTTTGCCAATAATCTTTCTATCCGGTTTCTACTCCTCCTTTCAGGGGACGTGTTGTCAAGTGACGCCGAGTGCCTAGGTTTTCCAGAATTCAAAATAATAGAGTAAAATCAAAGATTTAACTAAATTCTTTTAAATTATGGAAAATCTAAAGGCGATTTTTTTGATTTGAGAAATAAAAAGAAACTTTTAGAAATTTGCTTTTTAAATCTCCAATTAAAAAAAAGCTAAATGCATTTATCCAGAATTCGAAAGAATTTCGTAAAATAAAGAATATTACTCAATTCTTTCAAACCCTGAAAAATCTAACGACAGTGGATAATTTTTCATTTGTTCATGAAAATGATACAATATTTTTTTACTTTAATATTTTAATTATTTTTCTTCTTCTCTTTTTTATTTAATAAAATTTCTTTTATTACTCCTTTCTCAGAATAAATAAACAAATTAGAAATTTTCTCCTATATTCAGGACGTGGATAGTTTCTATTTGGTCATGGAAAGGATAAATTTATTTTTTATATTTAATATTTTAATTATTTTTCTTCTTCTCTTTTTTTTATTTAGTAACTTTTCTTTAATTACTCCTTTCTCACAATAAATAAACAAATAATAAATTTCAAAAAAAAAAAAATTTTAAAAAAAATTTTGTGTCCATTTCATGGAAAACATCCCGTGTATTTTTTTTCTAATTTCTTTGCGAAATTAACATTGTTGACAATAAGATTTTTCAATAACAAGTGTATGTATTTTAATAGAAATTACAAAGCTTCATTTTTCTTAATGTTGATTTGGTGTTTCAAAGGATTTTTTTTAAAATCAAATTTAAATTTTACAAAAAAATAAAAAAGATAAGAAAAAAAAATTAGAAAAAAAAATCAGAAAGAAAAAAAAAAGAAAAAAAATTAACTAAAACTGAGAAATAATGATCAGATCTAAAAAATTAAAATTTCAGTTTGAGAAGGCTAATGAATTAAACTCATAGAAAATGTTATAGGAATTCAATAAAAATTAACCCCTTTGACTGAAAAACGAGTTTAATATTTGTTTTGTGATTATATCACATAATTTTATAAAGTGGGATCTTTCGATAATCTAGTCAATTTGTATTTAGTTATTTTATTTTCAATAGACATTAAAAAACTTTCTAGGTTCTACGAATAACTTCTGAATATTTTTCGATTTTTTTTTTATTTCATTTTCAATTTTTGATACATTTTGGTTCTAAGCTTTGAATTTAGTATTTTATAAGTTGAACACAAAAAAAAAAAATTGATAAAGAATGGATCTTTATTAAATAATTTAATACAAAATATTTTGAAATTGATTGTTCTTTGTTGTATAAAATAGAAAATTGACTTATAGTTATACCTAATAATTATGAATTTATCAGTATTTTGAGGATTTTAAATACACAAAATAGAGAAGGTTTTATTCTGTTTATTTTTATTAACTTTTTAATTTGTAGAGTAAATTAATTGTTATTTCTCTTGAAAAAAATAATATGAAAAAAGTTTTGTTTGTAAAAGTTTGTGAGTTTAATCGTATTATCAAATAAGCGTTCTAAACTTGGCCTATTATCTTCTTGTTTTTATTTTGTTTTTTTTTTTTGAAAGATCAAATTTATGATTGAAAAAAAAACCTAAATAAGGATATATTTTGTGAAAGTTTTAATTAATCTGAATTAAACTTTCGTTCGGAATTTGGGTTTAGAAAGCTATACTTTTATTTTGATTAACTTTGTTTTTTCTTTAGGTTGAAGTATAAAAAATCAAAATTTTTAAGGTAGATTTTCAAAAATAAAAATTTTTACAAAAAATTATTTAGATTTTTTAAAATGTTTCAATTCTCATCTTGAAATACAAAATAAGAAAAAAGTTGAATGGTATCTTAACGAAGAGTTTATCATTTAAAGAATCAAAATTTGTATTTAAAAACAAAAAAAAAAAAAAGGGGCCAAACCGAGAATCGAACTCGGGTCCCATGCTCCCAAAGCATGTATTCTCCCATTAAACTATTTGGCCTGACATTAAGAGTAGTATTTTTGATTTAATTTTTTTTTCTTCACAAATCTAAAACAAATTCTATTTATAAATTTTAGAAATTCTTTTAATTTTAACTCTTACACACTATTATTTACGACTACACATCTACCCTTTCACCTAGTATTCTTTAAAAGAAAATAAATATAATTCAAACAAAACTCAATAATCATTTTGGAAAAAAAGTGAAACACCAAACAAAGTTCAATATGGAACTTTACTGAAAATTCAAAGTAAGATCAATTAAAAAAAGAATAAATAAATAAATAAAGACAAAATGAAGTATTCGACACAATAACAGTTTTTTAATACTATCTTTTGGTGTGGAGTTTTCTTTGATTGAATAATTATTAAAAATTGTTCAAAAAATTGACTATTTTTGGGATCTCTAAAACCACAACAATAATTTCAATAAATCAGGTAGATTTAAATTATAATTTTAAGTTGACATAAAATAATATAATGGATTATTATTTGAAGTTAACTGTTTTATTCTTTTTATTGATTTTAGAGTCGTGTAAATAACCCATTTTTTATAATTTTAACCCATTACTAAAATTTAACTTATGCAAAAAATATCGTCCGACTCTAGAAATAAAAGAAACAAATCAATGACATTTCAAGGGTATATAAACATGAAATAGTGTTCTTTATATAAATTTTAAAAAAGAATTATGAATATATTGAAAGATTAAAATATAAATTTTTGATAAAAAAATGAGCATAATTTGATTTTTTGAATTTTTATAAAAAAATCCTTTATATCTCAGAAATTTTGAAAATATGATGAAATTTTTGAAATAAAAGCATTTAATATTATTGAGTCATTTCGACTAATCAAAGATCTAACCTCTAAAGTCAATTTAAATCCGAACCAGGAATATATGTGTGCCTTCCTATCTTCAAATACCTAAGTCTGAAAAAAAAACAAAAAGTTGTTAAATTTTAGTAATGGGTTAAAGGTTGTCAACACGGTTTATTTACACCACTGTACTTTTTGTTTTCAGTTTCTATTAATATTCCCACTGAAAAACTGTGTTTCACTTCTTTTCCGAAACGGTAAATACAGCAATTTCAAACCTGGTGCGAACGATCTATCTTAACTTAAATTATAAATTTTCATTAAACTTTCTTTAAACTCCTTTCAATTGAAAAGGACGATTGTTATTTTGTTCTCAAATCCTCTTATATTGTCCTTAATATCCAAGATCCCTTCCAAAAAGGAATCTTTTTTAAATATTGGTATTTGAATTAGAAATTCGTAAATATTTTCACTTCATTTTGCTTTTCCTTTTAAAAAGACTTCTCTAAGAAGTAGGTAGTAAATTTGAGACTTTATGACAATAGGAAAATTATAAATCAAGTGAAAAATTTTTCCATTTGTAATTTACTTTGATCAAAAAATTGCCTACACCAAGACTTTAATTCGTGTTTCAAAATATTATCCGTTCTTTTTTTTATTCTTGTTCCAAGGCAACTTCCGATTTACTACCAAATAGTATACCTAAGTTCAAATCAATTTTGAAAGTAAAGATCTGGTTATTTATCTGAATAATTTAAATTATTCATGCAATTTATTGAAAATTTTTCGTATTTTTCTTCATAATATTCTCAATTTTTTGTTTTTTTAGATGAGTAAAATTTTCTACAAAAATTAACTCTATTTTTTGAGATAAATTTTCCAATTTGATACTTCATTTTTCGAATTTCTTTTTAAATAATAGAACTTTAAAAAACCAATACCAGATTTTGTTAGGGTTTATTATCAGTTTCTTTGATCGATTAATGTATAGGTCTTCTAGAACAAAAAAACACACTTTTTATTTTGAAACACAGATTTTAAATTTTTTTGTAAACTTTATTTTGACTACATTAAATACCAATAATTTCAAATAAGTTTAAAAAAAACTGATTAGTCGTTTACGAAGCTTTTAATTCAGGTATTTTTGAGTTTTGGGGTTAATCACTTAATTTAGTTTTAACAAATCTTTAATTTCAAAGAAAGTTTATTTTCAAAATTTAAATTAAAATATTAAGTAAAGTTAGATCGTTCGCACCAGGTTTGAAATTGCTGTATCTGAAAATTTTTACTTTATTTTCCTTTATGAAATTTTTTTTACTCTTGCTTTAAGGGACTAGTCTATATTAAATTTTTTTAGGTAAATTTAATAGAGATTTAGAATTTTTTTTGCCAATTACTTAAATTTGAAATCAAAGTGAAAAACTTCTTAGTATATTAATGAAATCTTGCTAAATGACATTCATTAAATTTAGTTATTGTTTTTATAGAAATAAAAAATTTTTGCATTTTTTTCATTTTTTTTGAAAGTTGCTTTTTTTCAACTTTTCGCAAAAAATTCAAAAAAAAAAAAAAAATATGAGCAAGAAAGCAAAACCTTGTTATGTTTGTGTGAGACCTACAAAAAATAGTTTGAAAAATAAACCTGAAAAATTTTTTTTGCATTTGCATGAAAAAACAGTTTGATTCAAAAAAAATATACAATATATGCTTTACTCTTAATAAAATATTTTCTTTCTTTTCTTGTACCATTATTTTTTTTCATGAATCTACTTTTTGAGTTTACACTCTTTTGTTTTTGTTGAATTTGAAGTTTTTTTAAGTGTTCCCAAATTATCATTCCAAAAGTTTTTGTCAGAGTCGAATAAAATTAAAGAAAAGAATAAGAACTATTTTTTTAAAAAGTAATTATTGATAAAACAAATTGAGTTCTTTATAGAATCAAGTTGGATGAATAGAAGTGAAAGAGAAAATATTCACCCGTTTTCAATTATTTTTTCGTTTTTAAAAATGATTATAAATATTATTGTTGAGAAAATAATTAAATAGAAAATTAATCAAAAAATTATCATCCTTTCAAGATATTTTTTTAAAAAAATTTTTTAAAAGTCACTTTTTTTGACAGAATTGTAAAATTTTAAAAAAACAAGAACTAAAAGTTCTAACATTGAAAAAACCCGTCTATTTTCAATTTGAAAAATATTTCAAGATTTGGATTCCTTATTTAGTTATTGGTCAAAAAAAAACAATTAATATAGACTAGTCCCTTAAATAAATAAAACATTTTGTTGGTTTAAATGTTAAGAAACTTTATAAAATTAGTTTCTCCTTAAAAAGATTCCGTCTCTTGAGTTGTTTTAAAAGTGAGTCTACAAGATTACAAAAATGGGAAACTGATTAAAACTTTTATTACAATAAATCTGAATTTATCAATATGTTAAATCCAATTTAAGGTTTAAAATCCCTGAAACTGGAAAAAAGATTATCTTGTATTGGGTGTGGCAACTTGTTATATTGGTTCTTAGCTGATCGATCCACAACTAAGTTTGGATCTTATAGGTGGTTGAAAAATGCTATTTTTGTGATTTTATTTTTTTTTTTTTAGGAAATCCAGATTTGATGAGTCTAAGATTAATTAATTGGAAGGTATTGAATTGAAAGTGTTAATTTTTGGGTTGTCAATTGAAATTATCATTTTCCTTTTACAGAATTAGGAGTAAATAAAAAAATTTTTTTTTAAACAAGCATCAAATAATACAAAGCCTAAATAAAAATTTCAACACAGAAAACAAAAAACTCAATTACTAATTAAATATCTTCCAATTAATTAATCTTAGACTCATCAAATCTGGATTTCCTAAAAAAAAAAAAAATAAAATCACAAAAATAGCATTTTTCAACCACCTATAAGATCCAAACTTAGTTGTGGATCGATCAGCTAAGAACCAAAATAACAAGTTGCCACACCCAATACAAGATAATCTTTTTTCCAGTTTCAGGGATTGTAAACCTTAATGATATGCAAAGAATAATTCATTTTTTTTATTTTGACTTTTATTCTTTGCTCTACCAAAATACGATTTTTATCCTCATGAGCTACTCAATTTTTGTAAGTGGAAACAAAATGAAATGGGTTACTTTAATGCCAACACCAAGAGAAAAAACAGACGTCAAACAAACACAACTAACACATTTTTATCTCACAAAAAAGCCTTCTAAAATTGTTTTAAGTCAAAATAGTGGAGACTATTTGAAACTTGAAGGAAAAGACCATTTTGTTGTTCTTTATGAAGACAACGAATTAGAATATTTTCAAAGTGCTTATTGTGTCAATAAATGTAGATTGTCAGATAATAAAATTCTTGATATTGCATCAGGAGAATATTTTTACTTAGTCTTGACTGCGAAGGGTTTGGTTTATTATTTGTCTGCATTTGGTATGCTTAAGTACGCACGCCGACACTTGTGTAATATTTGGAGTCTTTGCTATAATCATTTAAAGAAAATAGATCTAAATTTGGATTCACAAATCAAAACGATCAAAGTAGGCCGTGCAACAAGCTATTTTTTATTGGAAAATTCGAAACTTTATGGCTATGGTGGCAACGCGTTTGGTATCAATTAATCTCATCAGATTTCTTTTTTTCTTTCTTCTACTCCATTTCATTCATTTCTGTCTGTTTGCGTTTACTAATGGTAGTCGAAAAAAAAGTGAATAACACAAGTTTTGAATTCTAAACTTTCATTCGAATCACACAAATCTGAAAATGAAAAGTTCTTTCAATTAGTGTATCACTCATTTGAAATTTGATGTGATAACAATTTTTCTACTTCTCGTTAGCTTTTTTCCTTGACTAAACATTCCTTTTGTTAAGAATTGTCAGTTCACCCAAAAGAAATAGATTAACCAAATTATGAAAAAGAGACTACAACACCAATTTGTGCTTTTAATTCGATTAGCAAAACTAATAGGTGACAAGAAGTGAAGTGAACATTTTTTTATCGTTTTTAAAAATACAAACCCAGTAAAAGAATAAATGTTTAAGCACAAAGCCACCACAGCGAATTTTCTTCTTACTTGGCTGTGCTTTACCCTCTAAAAATGATAATCTGTTGTTAAACTCCTTTGAGTAGAAAAAATTAAAAGACATAAAAGTAAAAAATTCAAGGAATTTAAAGTACA